GCTGTTTTGAAGAAATAAATTCAATAAATGCATGATTTGTAAAACACATTTGTAATGCAATGCTTTACGTATTCTGCTTCCACTCACAAATAAGCTATATAATAAAAGTTATTATTACCCATTAGGAGTAGTAGTAATCATAGTGACTGTAAAGATAATACTAACCAAGTATTCTATGTCATTCTAGAAAATCTGCACCTCATCTCAATTTTGCACAATTCAGGGAGGTAGACATCATTATATCCTTCGTAACCAGTATGTAACTGGGAAACAGAGAGGTTTATCTGGCTAGGGATGGGAAGTTTTTTTTTTTTTTTTTTTTTAATTCTTCTTTAGAAACCTGAAAAAAAAATTACATGAAGAAAGATTTGTTTCTTGGTGGCATTTTAATATGGTTTATTTAAGAGTCTATATGAAAAATGAATGTTTTTGATGTAAGAATTAGGTTAACAATTTGGTATTTCTAAAAGAATAATAAACATATGGAAAACATTATGAGCAAAGGCACATTAGCTAAAAGTCTATTAAGTTTAAGAGACAAAAAGGCACACAGTATTTCTTCATGAGGAGTCTAAATATTGCCTGTTCTGTTTTGTCTCTGTGCTACCAATTAACATGTTCTGTTATTTGATGTATCGGAGCTCATTTGTTGGAGACTCAAATCATATTAGTAGAGGAAAATGAGCAACTTTTTAGTATTAAGTAGATTAAAGAATTTGTTCACTGGTGTTTGACTTAGGCACTTAGGGAATATTCAAGAGAGTGAAGCTCAATTTTTACATTAAAAATCGAGACAAGTATATAAGACTATGTACATTTCTTCCGTTACTAAAATAGTGCACGTTTTGTCACCTCATTTTCTTGCTCTTTTACTTTTGGGTGGTTATAAATATCCCACACTTAAATCTATACTCTCAAAATAATTTATATTAAATAATATCTAATAATTATGAATTCTTGACTTCCATACAACCATCTCTAGTCCTGTAAGTCATATGTTTAAGTAATAAAAAAATACAATAAAACCTGGGAACCAAGAAAGATCCCTCTATTATATGACTAGTATGTGCTTTCCAGACTGAGGGGGATGTTCCATTTATAACTCTCATTTGTTTCCTACCATTGTGGCCAAGTTTCCACTTATTACATGTCTCCTTGCCTTAATATTAACTTCCAGTTTGGAACACTGTAAACTGTTTCTCCACCCCTAAATTAAAGCAAATGATATCCACTCCACATCCACCACCAATTTTACTAGCAGCCACTTCAAAGATTCCATTTTAAAAAGTAAAGTATGGCCACTGCTTCCTGAAGCCAAGATCAGCCCTGTTCATAATGAAGCTGGACTTTCTCTGACTTCCCTTCTATTTAAACACTGAGAGTTTTTTCCAAGACATCCTTTCGTGTCCCTCAAAGTTGAACCTGGTTGTTTTGCTGTTGTTATTAGTGACCAGTTGAAGGATTGATAAAAGGGCTCTGGTAGACTCTCCCTATGTAGTCCTGCTTGGGCATTTTCTGTGACACTTCAAGACCACATCTAATTATCTTTAATAAACTTAAAAGTTCTAAAACATTTAAAGATTGCCTTAATTACATGCAATTTCAGGAATGCAACAAATCAGCAATATTTTTTAGATTGCCAATGTTTTATAAAACTATATAAAAGTGGATGGCAAAAAATTTTAAAAATGACAAAAACACTCTACAATTGTTCAACTTTCTGTTTCCTCAGCTCATCTCTCCTTTTCGACCTTTTTCTCGGTCATTCCTTGATAGTGGCCTCACGAGCCTCATGTGAAGTTTCTTATTATACAAGTCAGTGTTACCCTTTGTCCATGTGTGTACACTGTGACTATTAATTAAGCTCTGGGGCAATGTAACTGAAGCTGGATGCATACTAGTATCTTTCTAAGTCCTCGTCTCCCTCTGTATCCTGGCCTGCCATACATACATACAGTTTGTGTATGTGGGGGAAAAAAGAAAACACAATTGCAGATGCTTAGACTTTGTACTAACCTCCATGGGAGCTGCTGAAGGGTAAAAACCTACCTTTTCACACACACATACACACATATACACACACACACACTAATCCAAATAGTAGTTTAGCTTAAGCTGAAGATGTGTTCCTTCATAAAAGACCTGTTCTTGGAATCTGAAGGTTCTGACTCTCAACTATCTAAAAAATAATTTATATGATTGGGTCTTTCAAATTCTGCAGGCAATGTGAATTTGAACCCTAAACCCACTAAGGGCCTATGAAAGGTTATGTTGGATACAGGGAGACTTTGTATTTCTCCYCCACCCACTGCCAGAAAAACAGTATTCTATAGATTCTCATCCATGTTCCCTGCCCTGCTTCTGCCCAGAGTTGTTTCTTGTCCCCTGGGTGGCTATAACATGATGCCTACATGCCCCAATATTTTAGCTCTTAACTAAAAAAAGAGATGATACAATTGAACTAAATTTGTAAATTGTATAGATCTTAGTGTTTTCCTCTGAAGACATTAGTCTTCTTTTAGTTCTGAGGACATGTTCCTCCTATCACTCAGGGCTTTTTGCCCAAATGGTATTAAAACATTCTTCTTTACACACACACACACACACACACACACACACACAAACACAGAGTCTTTATTGGAGATTGTTCCTTGTAATTCTTCACATCTGATTTTAACAATTATGATTATATATCTTTTAACTATGGGAAAGTAGTGGTTTTGCCATTGTGCAAACATCTTATAGAGCACTGACCAATCACTCCAAATGGCCTCTTGATGCATTCCAGAGACACAGTAAACATAGGATATATGAGGCAGCTCTTTACATAACATGGCATTATTGTTTTGCAGTATTTTTTTTAATAAACAGAGGAGTATATTCAAGCCAGGCATGGTGGCACACACTTATAATCCCAGCAACTCAGGAAGCTGACACAGGAGAATCACAGGTCAAGGTCAACCTGGGCAACTTAGTGAGAGCCTGTCTCAAAAATTAATACTAAAAATAAAAAAGTGCTGCAGATATACCTTAGTGTAGACTGGACTTATATTCAATCCCCAGCACCACAAAAAAATAAACTAACTAATAAATTAATTAATTTAATTTAATAATGTTAGGGCTAGGGGTTGAGTTCAATGTTATAGTGTGGGCCTAGGAAGCTTAAGGTCCTTGGTTCAATACCCAAAACCACCAAAAAACAAAAAACCTCTTTCAAATCAACAGAAAAAAATAATAAAAAGTATGTTATAGTAAATGCATAAACCAGTAACTGTTCTTTATTATCATTGTAAAGTATTATGTGCCGTATACAATATTTTATGTGCTATGTAGTATGTGCTATTCTGTATGTGTTAGACATTCATAGGCTAGTAGCCTGCTAGGTGCATTTACAGGGCATCACCATAAACACTTGAGTAGCACAATGTTTAATGTTGCAACAGGACATTATGATGGCTGTGACATCACTAGGTGATGGGATTTTTTTAACTCCATTATTGTGTATAAGATCATTGTTGACTGAAACATAATGATGTAGCATATGATGTTCTTCCTCAGATAGGCCTTCCTTAACCATTCACGATGTAAAATCAGCAATAACTTTTGTATTTCAGCATTTTCAAGAGGCATATAGAGTTCACACATACAAAAAACGTTTGGGTTCCTGGATATTACACTATAGCTTTTCATCCCCAAGAACTAAACTACCATTCATTGAATAATAAATTTGCTACACAAATAAAATATTACTCAAAGTATTCAAATATGGAAGATACATCTACAAAGAGAAATAAAAGAGAAATAAGAGAGAGAGAGAGAGAGAGAGAGAGAGAGAGAGAGAGAGAGACACTAAAACTACTTCAGGAACTTGCTCAGGAACACTTAATAAGTTACAGTTGTAGCTGAATCCAAAATCCTGAAATAAAGCTTAGTTATCTATTGTTTTAGAAACTAGAATACCTAGGCAAGGAAAATTGTAAAAATCCCCATGTCTGAAAGACCAGAGAACAACATTTTATCTTCTCTCCGAGTCAATAGAATGTTCCTTACTTGGTTCCAGAAGATAAGTAAGGATTTATGCACATATGTTACAATGTCAAAATAAGCTCTTGTGGAGCTTGTTCTTCCCATTGTTTTTCAACGTTTGCCAAGCAACTGTACACTTCTGACATTAAGCTTTACATATTGATTTTCAGCCTCACCAAAAAGCTTTCATACAGTCTTATATTTAGTTGTCAAAATACTTGGTTCAAAGATCATCAGAATCATCTATTTTTAGCTGAGTTTAAAAAACTAACACTAATTTAAAAATAATACTCACAAAATGCTATATATATATATATATATATTAAAAGTAAACTTAAAACAACACAGAATTTAATAAGCAATTCATAATCTTGCAACTTTTTAGATCGCTTCATTTTAGCATATAATGGATTTCACTTGATTTAAAAAGAGAAGGCTCTGTCAAATGCAGGGTTGCCAACATCAGGAAAACATTTCAACCAAAATATTCTGCACTTTGTCTACATATATACCCACCACAGCTCACAAAATAACAAAAAGCATTTGTTCCAAAAATTACAACAGTATATTCTAAGATTTTTGTGCTCCTCAAAATATCATCATATTTCAGTCTATTAATTTTTATGGTTGAGAGCATATGGGAGTTGAAACAAGCAGACATAGCTCTACTAAGATTAATAAGTAAAAAGAACAGATTCACAAATTTAATCAAATCAAATTAACAGCAATGAGACCTTCACTGCCCTAACAAAAACATGTTGAATTTACAACTGCTTCCTGAATGCCTATCATATTTAAATATTATATTCTTAACATTTTACTGTTTTATAATATAAAATGCTTGAATATTATATTCATAACATTTTATAAATATTATTTCATTAATACTCTTAACGTGCTTATATTACAAATAAGGAGACATACCTAAAAGAGCTAGAAAAGCAAGGAGTCTGTAACACAAAAATGCACAATACCTGAAGGGCCGTAAGGATATTTGCTAAGGCCTGTCCGTAAGTGTCATGACAGTGAACAGCAAGAGCACCTGGAGGTATTTCTTTCATGACACTTTCCAACATTCTCTTCATGCTTCCTGGAGTCCCCACTCCAATGGTGTCTCCCAGAGAAACCTCATAACAACCCATGCCATACAATCTCTTAGACACCTGTTGAGAAAGACCAAGTGCTAATAAGACAATGGAAATGAACAGACTTATACTTCCTTGTTCCTTAGCAAACACCATCTAGTGGTAAAAATCACAACTAAAGTGACTTTATCCATGGAAATATATGCTTTAGGTTTCTAGTCCTTCTCCTTTCTCATTAAATTCTAAGCATTACATAAAACTTTGAATGAAATTACTACCATTATCCTTTTCTGATATTCAAGGTTATCTTAGAGTCATCTGTTTGATTATCCATTTATCTATTCAGTTACGAAATTATAAGCCACACTTTTAATGATGGGAGGCTGACACGTCTCAACACTTTAATCAAACATAAGAATTACAGATTTACTTGGAAAGTAGTATTCTTCTAGGTATAACATCAAAGGTCCATAGACATCAGTAGCAGCTTCAGCTTTTCAGTTGGTAGAGTACTGGTCTAGTTTTTCTGGCTCATAAATGAATGCACTTGTACAAGATAAATTGTAATGTCTCCTCAAACTCAATAACTAATGTCACTTTCAAAGAATAATGTGAATTTGCATGAAGACAGCATGATATTTTGACAAAGACATGGGTTCTGGAATCAGAGATTTGGATTTAAATATCAGCCCCATCCAAGCTAGTGATAAATCCACTTAATTCCTAGTCTATAAGATACAGACAACAAAATTTCTTCCTTTGGTGTGTTTCCTAATCCTTAATTATGTCATTTTTTAAAAATTATGTTAATAATACCAATGTTAATAGCATATTTGGTTGTGAAAATGAGAATGTGTAAAAGTCACTCTATATAAAATCTGGCATGTACTACTCATTCACTCATTCATTCATTCAACATGTACTTCCCCAGAATCTATTTTATGCCAGGCATTATGCTAGATAGGAAAGCAGATACTGACATAGCTTATGCTGTTATGGAGTTTTGAGTCCAGTGAGAACATATAYAACACCACTGAGMAATGTATAATAATAATATGCTAAAATAAGAATTCTGAAACAAAGAAACAAGATTTTATGAGCATACATCAAAGGAAATTGACCCATCTGTCAAGCAAGAAGGACTTAKGTGAAAACCTGAGAYACAGTAAGCTTGAACAGTGAAGGAAGGAAGGGTCTAAGAAGAGGGTTCCAGAAAGGATATGTAATGCACAGATTAGCAGGTTCCAGGCAGCTGAAATACAAAATGTAAAGAGCATCTCAGGCAGGAAATAGTAAAATGTAAAGGGCAGTGTGATGATAAAGCAAAAGCYAAGGGTTGGGGGAAGAAAAGGGGAGGACTAGAGGCTTGAAAAGATAATTGCAGCTTGAAACAGTCATTTCAGAGAAAAAGAGTGCAAAATGAAAACAGTGCAAAGGGTCGCTTTAAGATGCTCTGATCCTGAATGTCTAAGGCTTCCATTCTGCCTGCRACAGAGTTCTCTTAGCAGCTCCTTAGGCATTTTGGTGCAGGAATCCAGTGTGTGGTATGTCCAGAGRTGGAGCAGAGCAAAAGAGAGAAAAGCAAGGAGTCTGGTGAAAGACTACAAAATCTAAGCTTCATTATTTCATAACATACCTGCCTCTGTGTGCAAGAWTTTTGTTTCAATAAGATKATGTGATAGATCTTATTTGAAAAAAACTGTAACAAGTTTCAAAAGTTTGAATGAGTACATGAAAGAGGAGTGGCTTTAGTTGACTGAGTTTGTCCTGTCTAAATTTGGATTTTGTAATAATGCTATCTTCACTGATTTAGTGCCACATTATTAAGTTTATTAAACCTTAAAACCATAGCAGCAGTTTGTGTTAATATGCTTCGTTTACAAATGATAATCTGAGATACCCTAATATAATTCCAAATGAGGGCAATAAGGGCATTGCATTCATAAAAATAAAGGAAGAACTAGAAAATAAAAAACTTCAATAAGCAGATATTTAATGACTGTAATCTGTTGCTGTAAAATTGCTCTGGAAAAACAGAAACTTAATCACAACAGAAATATCTACAGGATCACAAATGAACAAAACCCTGAAGCAGTGTACATTCAGATCTGACACCAAACTATGAAGGAGAAGCAACCAAGGCCAAGGTTAAATGTGTGGATACAAATCTGCCCCTACATTCTAATGGAGAGGGGAACAGTCACTATTTTAAAGCCAYATAAAAATSAAATGGAAGTTTGTATTCTTCTACCTTAAAGCACTCAAATCACAAGACTCAACTGTCATTTAACCTTGAAACATAGCCAACTGGTAGATCTTCAGTGTTAAAATAAAACAATTAAGTGAGCAACCCTGTTTTCAGTGACAGTGTCCATTCTACAGCCCTCCGTAGTCTTTGCTGTATAGAACCAATAAATCTTTTTTAAAAAATTTTAAAAATCTACTTTTAAGAAACATGCATTATTTTAACATTAACCAAAAAGGCTGGAGACGTAGCTTACTTCTGTGACTTTTTGCGGTGTAATACTTCCTTCGTATGGGCAGCCCAAGGCACAAGACACATACCTAAATTTAAAATAAAAAGCAATATGAATATATATAGGGTGGGTAAGTAGGTAATTCCCATTTTATGAAAATGAAACAACTAACATACACCATGAAATTTCACTTTACTATCTTCCTTCATTATTATTTTATCATTAAACCAAACAAATAATTTTGGAGAATTTTCAATTAGTCCATATTTTTATCTTTCTAATAACTACAATTTGATGCATGTCATTTGATGGCTGATGGGGATAAAGTAACAGACATTTATCTTGTGAACCTGTTGGTAATATAATAACATGTTAATGTTCAGAGCAGAAAATACTAATGAAACACTTTAATTTAAATAATTGCATACATCCAGCTGTTAAATATCCAAGTCTTCAGACATATCRATAGCCAGCATGTAAAAGACCAACTGAATTTCTCTGTACTTCCATCTAGATGTTCTGACTTCATTTTGATGCACTCATCAGTCATCCCAAAACTCTTGGAACTGGGCACAGCCTCAGAGTTCATCTTGTTTCTCTCTCATGGGCTTCCCTAAACAATTCCAAATGGAAGAGTGTCTGATGTGTTTAAAAGTTTACAAATAAAGATATTCTATACGTCAGCTTCTTCAGCAGTCCACTCTCATATAAAAGTCAGGCCTTTCCTGTAAAAAAAGAAATGGTCCCTTTCCATTTTAAATTATAAAGCTTCAGGAAAAGCTTGTTTTAGGTGTATTCAGCTCATCACCAATCCCATTTTACTAAACTTAATTCAGAGTCTTTTGCAACACTATTACTAAAATAGCGCATCACGTATCTGATCATTAGGAGTAGAACCAAGCCAAAGAAAGGAGAGAGGGGTGTTGAGAAATGAAGATATAGTTCTTTGGGCCAGAATAAGAAAAATTTTAGATACACAAGTACCTTGAATATACTACACCAATTATGCTGGGCTTTGACAAGACTCAAAATTATTTTGGGGCACTCAAAATTAGTAGGTAAGGTAGTGATGAGATCAGATTTTTTTCCCCAGAAGTATAATCTCCCATAGAAGTAGTTGTCAGAGGAAACATGCAAGAAAAAGCAAAAGACAAACTGCTATTATATCTCCCTGATTTTATAAGCTGCTATTTATTGGAAGATATAAAATGAAACTCATTATAGACTTTGGAGTACAAAAACAATGTACATATTTATTGACTCAGAACATGTACATTGATTTCAAGATGTAACTTAAATTTTGAGTTATTAAAATATTAATAAAAGTTATGTTTACAGATGGAAATAAATAAACATCTGTTGGGCCAGCAGTGTAGCTCAGTGGTAGAGTAATTTCCTAGCACTGGAAGGCCCTAGATTCAACCTCAGGACTACATGCATAAATAAATCAACAAATAAATAGTCCTAGAATCCAGGCAAGCAGCTGTGATGACAAGGAAGGAGAAAGAGTAACAAGTTCAAGTACAATTTGAAAGTTAGTCCTGGATAGGAAATCTATGTGTTTTCTCTTCCAGTTACTATACTCTAGGATTGTTTAGATAAACTTTCTAAATTTAATTATGATATGTGAAAAGAAAATGTTTTTATTTGAACATAACATTGGAGAAGATAGTTAAGGATGGAAAAAAGAAGGATAGTTTGAATACATACAAAAATTACAATAACATGTTAAACATATGCTGTATATTAATCCTGAACCCAAAACAACTAGATGTGAGTAAACAGAGAGTCCAAGCCATCTGTTTATGTGTCCTCCCACAAAATGTGAATAACAACAAATAAAATAGAATAAATGCTCTAAACAAAACAAAACAGACAAACCTTTCCTATATTCTCTACTCATTGCTTGACTGTAGCTAACTCCCTGCCAGAATCCTAACTCTCACAAGGGCATTTTCATTCATTCAGTTTTTCTCACTAATGACTTTCCCAAGTCTATGGTAACCTTTGTCTTCACACTAGATTACATTTTATTTTCATATGCTCTTTTTTGGCCTTGCAAGTGTCTAATTTGACTTGTTCACATGTGGAATACTTTCTCCAAAGCTATTGTGATGGTCCTCAACTACATTTTCTTACCTGTACTTTAGCACACTAAAGCAGGGGTTGACATGCTAAGGCCCAGGGGCCAAATCCTGCCCTTTTGCAAATAAAACTTTACTGGAACACAGCAAGGCCTATGTTTACATAGTATATGTGGCTGCTTTTGCACTAGAACACCATAGTTGTAATTGCAACAGAAACCCTCTGCCTCCCCCAAATCTAAGCTACTACTATCTGCATGTTTATAGAAAAAGCACTATAAAAAAGTTAGGCTCCTTTTTCTGAGTTTAGAAAGGCCACCATCATTATGAAAATAATGCTCTACTTTGAAAAGTGGCTAAATCCATTTTCTGGACTTCTCTTCCCTAACAATCCATGACATTGGTTCTCAATCTTAACTGCACAGAATCACCTTGAGAGCATAAAAAAACAAATCAAGGACTGGGAATGTAGCTCTGTACTAGCTCAGTGGCAAGATAATGGCCCTGGGTTCATCCCAAGCACTGCAAAAACAAGGCAAAACAAAACAAAATCGATAATCACAACAACAAGGCAAAACTCTAATACTTAATGACACACTACAAACATATTAAATAAAAAAATAAGAATAGAATCTATTTCCCAGTATTTTTGAATTTTTGAGATTCTATTATTATGCCTAGATTCAAGTTAAAATACTTTAAAGCTTTCTTTGAAAGAAAATACCATAACTTCCTTCAGTAGTCCATCCTAGGTAAAGCTGCTGTATAAAGACATTTAATAATATGCTGAGCTATACATTTGCTTCACATATGATAATCTGTATAATAAATTCATTTTATCAATGGCAAACCAGAAGCTAAGAGAAATTAAGTAGGCTGCAGATRTAAATAAAGGTAAGACTCATACTTTAAAACAAAATCTGTCCAACTTCAGTTTGTGTCCATTACATCAAATTAGTTGCTTATAATTATTTTATGTCCAGCTTGGATTGCCATTCTAAACATTAGCTGGAGTCCAAGGAAATACATCAAGCTAAATATAGATTATTTATAGTTGACTCATAGCTTTTGAAGTACCTTTATTTGCTGTTATTTCTGACCACATCTTTTGAAACTTGCTATATTTTCTCTGTCCATTTGCCTTTCACTATAATTGACCTAACTACCTTATTTGGACTTTTATGCTTTTATTTCCTGAAATGATGCATCCTTAGGTTCATTATAAATTAAATTATTTCAGTCTCACCAAAAGGAATCATGGAAGAACATTAGAGGCCCATATTTATAAAGGTCCCTTGGGACAATCATAATGGGGCCCTGCACCACAGATTTCAAGCTACACCTAAGTACAGATCTTGAAGAGCTTCTAGTGACCTGTGCCAGACACTTCAGGTTCAAGCTGGCATTCAATTATATTGTTTGCTATCTGAAAGAGATTTGAAAATGTTATTTTTAAATGGCATGATTGTATACAGAAAGCAATCAGAAAATTAAGACAATGGCAACTCAATAAATTTTTTTTCTAATAGTTCTACATTTCTTGGCTAAGATTGTCTAGCTCTCAATTTTTTAATGATCCCCTTTAATCTCAAAGACTTGAAATTTACTGAGTTGCTCTCCTACATTCCAAAATATTTGTCTCCATGACTCCTGATATTTTATTTCATTTAATAAAGTCTAATATGATGGCTGTTTTGGGATAACATGAATCAAAAAAACAAAGCAGCAATGTGAAATTAATCTTCTAACCATTGTTTTTATGATCTGGTTCTAAAATGTAAATCATCATAATTTTTTTGCCAACTCACTACCTTCCAGGTAATTTGTCTGCAGAATTGATGAATGTACCCAGAGTATGAACTTAAGAAGACTAGTCACATGAGTTGGGTACTGAAAAGAAGACACCAGACAAACAGTAAATCTGGGTAATCAATCCCCTAGTTCTCTAGGCAGAGTTTAAATGAGTTCTTCATTTAGAGGAGATGCATATTCTTGTTCAATTCAGACACTCACAAATTTTTGAACCATGAATTCTACCCTCCACTACCACTGATTTTACTTTAGTGTAACACCACAAAACATGTTAAGTAACACTTAAGGAAAATCCATCTGGCTAGTTCCCAAGGTATGGCTCTAAGTTTGATTTTGAATTAAGAATATTTAATACTAGGTATATTTTACTTGAATTATCATGGGAAACTTAAGTAAGATTAAATGTAAGTTTATATAATGCTCCAGTATTTTTTCAGAGTACTTCTTCCAGGTATTCTTTATGTTCTGATTTCAAGTAAAGTTTCTAAACTTTTGTTTAAAAAAAAGCATTTTTCATAAACATATTTAAGAAATTCAGTTATTTTAAATTCRCATTTTAAAAATAATCTTTGCCTCACCAATTAAAACCTTTGAATATTCATTCTTCTATTTCATATAATAGACAAATCTTTTTATAATTATTTCTTAAATTTACTATCAGGGACCTGCTTTTACACGAATTCCATGTAAAACACGCAAGAAATAGCATGTTGAAAATACTTCTAAATTGTTATGAGCAACTAACTATATGCACTAAGAACATATGGCATTCAATCAGAACCTGTTACATTAATTTCATACATTAGAGACAATTTTTTTGAAATTATTTATAAAAATTATAAATCCATTTCTTGCCCAGACATGTGAAGTTATGGCCTAACAAAAAATTATTAATTACAATAAGGTCTTATTGCTATTAATTTTATTGCTAATTTTCATTTAGAATGAAGTTCTAAATTTCACTTAAAAATTCCCTCAAAATTTCTAAATGAAGGCTATTTAGACACGACTGTGCAAACATAGCTTACACAAGATAACAATTGCTGGCTATGTGTTATTGTGGAACACAGCAGTATCAGAATAATATGTAGGGCTAAAAATAAAAGTATAAGCCTTCAAACAAACCAAACATGTGAAAGAAAATAGATTTAAAAATGCCTCATTTTTAGTTTTATGTCTCACATTTAATTACATATTTTGGTAAATGTTGATTTGAATTATTCTTTCAGACCAACACCTAGTTTAATGGTAGAAGTTAAAAACAAACTCCTCTAGACAGCAAGAAGCTGCCCACTTATGAGAAGCAGGTGCTACATATGCAAGTGTATTCCACTTTAGTAAATCACTCAGTGAATGTATCAGTCATAGGAAATACTTCCTGCTAGGCACTGTGTGTTTAAAGAAACAGAGCCCAGAATATGGAGCATCATTATCCTACTCAATAGAATGCTATTACCCTCAGGGTTAGAGTCAGACAGGGAGAAGGACAGGGTACAAACAGCACAACATGATCCAGGTAGTTTGGCTAATTCAACAAAAAGGCTACAGGTTTTGAATATATATATTAAATCATAAGTCATGTCTCAAACTGAAAACTGTTTTGATGGAGAGGACTGTGTCCTTACTTCATGTCATTTAGGAAGATTGCCATTTAAAAATCTGTCAATTATATAAAGCTTGGAAATATATTAAGTTCAGAAAGAACTTCCTAATAATGATGGTCTTATACTAGAGACTAATTGGATCACTAATATATGTGATATGATCTCTTCTGGAAACCTTTAAAACCAGACTTAATTTTGATTGGGTTTGGATGATAGTAGATAAAGAGATGGAGAAAATGAGCTCTTTGGCTCACCTCCTCCTACATATTAATAGGTATCATCCACATTTTACATGCATGTTTTGATGAAAGTCAAACATTATCTTATCCAACAAATGTCTTTGTTTTCTGGATCTAAAAGAACTCTATGGATTGTCCATATTAGCTTAGTTATTATTTTGCCTTTATTTTTTTATCTCATTATTTCCAGTTTTACTTTTCTGGAAATTTGAGAAGAACTACAACAGGTCACAGATCAATATTATTGCATTTTGTAACTTTTAAAACAATGGATGAATAATTTCGTTGTTTCCTAGGAAAGTGAAAAATATACTTCACTGAGCTTTCAGTAGGTTCTGACTTTGAGAAGTTCCGTCATGAATCAAATTATTCTAGGCCATTTTGTAGAATAGCTTATCTAGGCCACTTTCTAGGAGAGTGTTTATGGTTTATGCTTTGATATACAGAGCTGCTGACCTTTTTATTTTTTAATGGGCATTGATAAGCATTTAAATAAGGAAACTAATGGAACCCTAGTGGTAATTTTGTCTTTAAATTAATACCCTCACAAAGAAAGTGAGCATACAAGTCATGTGACTTGATTAAAGAGAAGTTACTATTCATTTTAAACAAAAAGCAATAAATCCTAAGTGTTTTAAATGATGTATAGGGCATTATTTCACATCTGAGGCATTTCAATTTAACAGAATCCTGGAAAACCAATAAATATTTCTTTCCACAAATGCCATTAATAAGAGGAGAGAAAACAATTACATCCAGCACAGACTTCTTCGTTCCTTGACCTTCATAACCTTTTTAACTTTACACAAATATTAGATAAATAACCCAGATTTTTAAAACCTATGCCACATGAATTAAGTATTAAAGAATTAAGTACACAATTTAGATGTTTCACTTCATGCATATATATGTATATGCAGCAGGAGTGTCTCAGAGATTACGTGAAGTTCTGAATATGTATAAAAATGTGTGCACACATATGTGATGTGTGGTGTGGAAGGAGCAATTGGGCAATGATCTTCCTAATTCTAATGAAAGCTACTGGTTAGTTCACATAAAAGTTACCTTTTTATAAAAATTTATGTTTTTTGTGAACATTTATAAAGTGTGTACTGCATTATGGCCTTTAAATCTGACAGCTGATGACATAAATTTTCTGGATGATGATCAAGCACATATGTGATAAAACAACTGTTGCTATGTGAGATGAGCCGAAGCATCTGAGTTTTAACTAGTTTTAACTAGTGGAGATGGCTCTTTTCCTGACATGAGGACCAATGCTTTATGAATGACAATATCAAGTACCTAAAGTCTAGATTGCAAAATAAAAATATTTTTTTTCTTAAACTCCAAAAAAATCTGTGGGAGTGATAGAAGATAATTTAAAGTGCACAAATAGCTAATGAACTCTCATGCTGAAAGGTATATTCCCAGAAAGGAATAGTGTTCCAGAAAGTCCAGAAGTTGATTTTAAAAAAATCATACTTGAAAACACATATTTCTCTACAGTGTTCTACAATAGTCTCCACTGAAATTACTTTTTTGGTTTTACTGAGTCACTTCTCATCCTTCTGTAGCCTTATCATAGACTGCCATGTTCTTAAGTCACAGTATGGTTAAAAGTTTCTTTACTGATGAGGCAATATTAATTGTCAATCAACAAATTTAAAGATAACTTTGGATCTCAATTAGTTCAATTACATTAACCATTTTTTATGAGAGAGCTAAAATCTAAGAGCTGACTTCATACAATTTGTTTATATACATCTTTCAACATAAAAAATCCCCACAGAATTCCTGTTTAAAGAACAACACTTCTTACAGATTTGTCTTTTTTTCAACTTTCCAGTGAAAATTACTTTAGAGCTTACATTTCACAAGACATATTGAAATAGAATAGGGTCTTCTTAGTTTCCTTTCTTTTAAAGGTAAACAACACAAAACAACTTATTCGTATTGAATTTAGGAACTTATAGTGTGTGCTTCTTTATATATGGTTATGTAAATTTTGCCTTAAAAATAAATATTGTTTTATGTATCTGGAAGGACATTAGCTTGCCTTTAAATTTTTTTGCTAGTTTTTCCTATGATATATATCTATTTTAATTACAAAAATAATTCCACATCTTAAAAAGCTCATGTTGAAGACTTACCACAAAAAGAGGAAAAAGTTTAAAAAAACAACAAGATAGTTCACTATGGCATAGCCCAACTCTACTTATTTTCCAAATGGGCTTGACCCATTTCTAATCCTTTTTTAATATCCTCAGTTAAGGGTGATTCATTTGGCTTTCTCATTTACTATTTAATCATCCTGACACTATGGACTTTGCTCACCTCAACTAAAGGAAGTGCAATGTATATCTAAATCAATTTCTGGCACTCAGTTTTCTCTTGCAAATACCATGCCTTTCAATTTATGATACTACAACATGTTTTTCAAATTTGTATATTTAGGAAATCAATAGACATTTATGTAATGTCTTTCTTCAGTGACACAGACTTTATTTTGTGTGCTATATCATATAAGCATAATTGCAATACTTTTTGTAACTGCTGGTCCTGGTAGCAAGCAAGAACCAAGGTAGGAGTTCCTCTCTTCTCCCTCTGTCTCTGGCTCTCACAGCTACTAGGAGACCCCTTCTTTTTTCCATTTGTTTTCTAATACTCAGTCTTGTCACTGATTTGCACGTGGTTCCATCCTAGGAACACCAAAATAGAGACCTCACCAGAACAACCACATAATCTTTAAACTCAGGTGACCAGGTTTACTATCCCATTCCCAAACTCCTGTGTGAGAAAATTGGTCTTGTGGATCTCAGGCCAGTTTTTTGTTTGTTTGTTTGTTTTTTGTATATTTGGAATCTCTTGGATTGAAAAGCTGATAACTCAGACCATGAGCAATGCTGGTTTGTTTTGTTTTTTTTTTTTTTTTACAAGAAAAAGGCAAGGCAATGAGAGAAGACCACTATATTGTATATACCTGCACTTATAGAAAAAATATAGAATAAAAACTAGAGAAGAACTATTTGTGTTTGTATGCTGTATGCAGTTTGTCAAGTATTTTTAAACAGTGCTCTGCAGGGTACTATGAAGAAGCTTTGGGGTTATCCAGTGGAAATAAGGAAGTCAGCAATTAAGGGGAAGTTGAATGGGTAAAATGATGTCCCCAACTTCCCAGAGCAGCTCAGAGGCTCGATGTTATGTCCAACTTATTCTATTAAAGTAATACATAAACTTGTCCTTAAATAAAGTCATGCTTTTGAAAAAACATATTTGAAAACCATATTAGATGTTTCCTTTCTTAAAACTGCTAGGACTTTTTATCAATATATCAACACACACAAAGTTGAGATCAAAAGATAGTTGAATCTGGAAAGCTGAGAGTTTATATAATGGTTAGTGCTGGAATCACATGTTAGTCCCTCTGACCTTAATTTCATTATACATTCCACAGGCCAGATACCCACTAATAATTATTAATGGCATTAATCATATGTGACTGTATAGACTGCCTTGATTAAATAAGGTGCAAATAAGATATCCTATGTATATGTCTACAGAGTTCAAAACTAAGCTGTAATAATAGATGCTAATGAAATAGAATTTGTGGGACTTTATAAGTACCCTCGAATTGGAATATTCATGTGCCTTGCAGACTTAATGACCTCTTCAAACTTTCCCATACTTTCTTCAATGGAACAATTAATATTCTTCTTGCTAAAGGATTCAGACGCAGCACCAAAAACTGATATCTCAGTGGCTCCAGCAGCAACCTGAAAAACATAAGTTAAAGCCAAATTCAAAAGTATAAATGATAGCAGAAGAGTAACTATTAAAGCATGCTTATGTTACCATTTGACTTAAAATTTAAAACTATACTCCTCTCATCTTGCCACATACATCGTTTTGAAAGGGAAAAATATTTTAATAACAGAATAATTCTATAAGTTCATATATCTATGAGGCACAAAAAACACAGAGATGCTGTTCCAATTTAATTTTGCCTTTCAACATATTATCCTGAGAAATACTTCTACCCTAATTGTGGAAAATACTTGCACCCCAATAAAACCTTTATTTTCCACAGAAAACATTATTTTCAAACCAATTATTAAATTAGAGGATAGAAAACGTTCTGGTTTTGTTTTTCTTCTTTTCCTACAATCCAAGAGAAAAATACTTTTCCAATTCATTTTGGATTTTGCCCCAAACTTTCCTTCCAACTCTTAACCTAGCTTCTATTGTTTTGTATCACGACTGCTACAAGCACAGTCTTGTGTGTCTAAGACTCTAAATCTTCCTTCCAGTTTTTAAATTGAAAATATTAACTAATATTTTCTTTCTTTGGCCCCCTTTGTTATCTTCACTCCTTCCTCGAAGCTTCTCTATTGATTTGTTTTCAAATGTCAACCCTCCTGAGCTACATACCCAGCCCTTTTTTATATATTTTATTTAGAAACAGCAACTCACTGAGTTGCTTATGGTCTAAGTTGCTGAGGCTGGCTTTGAACTCACAATTCTCCTGCCTCAGCCTCTCCAGCTACTGGAATGACAGGCATGTGCCACTGCCCAGCTTGAGTTTTTAAGACCTTCTCTTAATGCATCGCTAGCATTCTGCCTAAGTTTCCCCACCCCGTCTCTGATCCCCTCCTAATACATTTAAAAAAAATAAAATCTGTCATCTTTTCTACAGCATTTTTAAAAAATAGTAGTTTTTGTGCCTCTATCCAAAATAAGTTTAGACCCTCTAAAATAAAATGTCTGTTCACTGAGCACCTACTATTCACCAGTACTGATGTTTGCACTTTGCAGGCCATTTTTTTTAAATTTACCATCAGTTCTGTAAAAACTATGATTATGCCCATGTCACAGATGAAAATATTGTGGCACACACACACACACAAAAAAAAAAAAAAAAAAAAAAAAAAAACCTAACTAGATAGCAAAAGCTCATACAGTAAAATTCAGGGAGTTATGTTTTGAGTACAACCTTCGACTCCCAAGCCATCTATTCCACCCCACTGATTGTACACTATCCTGAGGATGTCTTCTCAGTAACTTTCTCAAGGTGGAAGATAGCAACATTTACACATTCCTAAAATGCCTCTTTCTTTATAAAGTAATAATTCTATCAAATCAAAGGAATGAAAAGATAAATGGTTCTAACAGCACATATACTAATACATAATACACTAACTGGGACTCCACAACTTCAGCTTTATACCATATAGTCTCAAATGCTGAAGCAAAGAACAATCATTTACACTAGAATAGCTTCAGTAGAAATATTGCAATAAGCCCATGTAAGCACAATACAGTAAGCTTCTGCTTAAAATTGGAATAGCTATTCTTGTAAGTATAATTATTCAAGCTTTCACTTAAACATAAATCCCTAAATCACACAGAATCAGAAGAAAAATAAAGAAGAAGAAAAGTCATTAGATGTACATACAATGACAAAGCTGAACTTCGTGTAGAGGGAGGAAGCTACAGAAACAAAAACTTGGCCAAGAATTTTTTACAAAATATTTATCCATCTCAGGAATATTAATGACTTATCAATAAATGTTTGAGTTGTACTCTATATTACCTACTTAAGAGGGAGACACAAAATACACTGTCAAAAAAATTTATGACAATGAAGAGTTTTGCTTTTATATTTTGTTTCTGTTGTTTTAGTGTTTTGATTCTTGAATTTTCTTGAATGCTTAAATTAAAAGAGCCAATTATGTAACACTTTGGTCTTTAACAATGCTGTGAGGGTACAGATTTCTATGCATTCATGTTAGTATATTAATAGTGTACTTATAAAAGTTAACTACAAAGGACACCATTTTAACTTTGTACAGATCTTTAAAACAATTATGGGCATATAAATTTTAGAAAAACAAGTAGCACACTTACAGCACGGTGAAAACCCTGAAGATTAGGAGTAAGGACAGGATATCGAACTCCTGGATATTGATTAATGCCTTTCATCACTTCAGTGTGATCAGCCATCTTAAATACATAAGAGTTACATTTAAATATGTAGCTGAATATTAGATCAGACATGTTCTTAGATTTTTGGGTAGGTCATAATTGCATACGCAAATATATTCTACAAAATAACACTTGAAATTTTTAAAATGTGCCAATATAACTGCAGAAAAAGTAGTTGTCAGTGTCATAGGTATATAATGACTGGATATGAGCTTAATTAATTCATATAAAAAGATCTGGCCACATGAGTGATTACAGAGTCTCAGAAACTTTTCTAATTTCCTTTAAAATGTTCACTTGACCAAAATGTATTCTCTATCATTCTGTATAATTTAATAGTCCAATCCTCAAACATTCCTGATAGTGAGGAGAGTGTGAAAGACTTCTGTGCTGTCTTTACCTCCCACAGGAGAATTTTATGACTAAACAGCTTCTAGTGCATGAAATTTTACAAAGTTTAATAAGATATAAATTATACATGTCCATTAGAATAACTTAACAAAGCTGAGATATGTTACTTGGGTAGCACAGGTGTTTCAGTTAGTATAGTTATTATGCTTAATATAGTAAAATCAAAGAATTACTACCTATTTCTCACAGGCAAAATATAAATACAGTAGAGAAAATACCTATGACAAAAATTTAACCCACCCTGTTAATATTTTATTTTCTGAATCTATTAAAAAATCAACTTTGACTTAAAATATCCAGTCCACAAAGTCTATTAGTTACTCTTTTAAAGCAATCACTGATAATCAGATACCATGATTATACAAGAAAATTATTACTTACATAACTATTTAATATTTTAAAATATCAAATTATGCATGAACTATGTATATATATGAAATAATATATGATGAAATGTATAAAAATAAACTGGAAAATGTGTTTTAATTAGCAACGAACTTACATCAAACCAAAACTGATATCCTTACTGCAGAAATGGAGAATGAAGACTATTGTTTTATCTCTATACATATTTACTTCTTATAATGAACATGTATTATTTTGAATGTTAAAAACATAATTTAACTAAAGCATAAGGGATTTTCCTTAATATATGTATACATATTTTAAAGCAATATAAAATATTACAATAATTATTGTGTTTGCTCTATTAGTCTTCTCAACTTTAGTTAAATGCCAGCAGACTTAAACTAAATATTTTGAATGAATATAATTTGGATTAATAAAATGTCTTGAATATGTTTTAAATTTAAATTAAATTTTTAAGATGCAAAATATTCCCTCTGGTTGACTGTCATTGTCATGCCTTACCAGTAATTAAAACTGCTTGGTTCACTCAATACAGACACATTTATTTAAACCTAACATGCGATTCTTGATCATTTATTTCTAAGGTAACATATTCACCATCTCCCACCTCATTACTATATCCTTTGCAAAGGACATAATATCTACCATATCAATTCATTTGTGATTCATAAAAGCCAAATCCCTTATTTCATTTTAGTCTCATTTGATGTTAACTCAGATGTTTACTGAGCATCTACCGTGTCCAAAACCATATGCTAGATCCTGTGGGAAAAACAGATCTTATTTTTCTGTGAAAAACTGAGGYCCTATCAATGAAGTCATTTGCAGAACAGTTGTGGAGAAAAAAACAGACATACATGGAGAATTCACAATCCAAAGGAATATCCTGGTTGCTAATTAAAACACATAAAAGTTTGKAAAGGGAAAATACTGGTATTACCTACGATAGTCTATGAACATTTAAAAGAAAATATGGAGTACAAACTGAAGCCCTTGACGGTAGCATATTATAAATTTAAAAATAAAAATGGTCATAGTAAGATTTCCAGTTCTACATACTCTTCCAGGTTCTCTCCACTGTCAATCAAGTGGTGTATTCTATTTACTTCCCCCCTGGAAGCTGGGTGGGCTCTGATTGTTCCAACTAATAGTATAGAGTGAAAATAATACTGTATGACTTCTGAAGCTAGGTTATAAAAAAGGATATAAGTTCCATATGGCTTTCTATTTGGGGAAAGTCGGTGTGGAGAAATCAGCCAACATGCTAGGAGAAAGAAAAGGCTCTCCTATGCAGAGAGGTCACCCGAAGAAGAGGCCTCCTGGAGAATCTGTGTGAATTGAGATTGAGGCCCCTAGCCAATAAATATTATCATCCCCTCTATCTATCACTGAAGTAACCTTCACATGATTCTGACCTCTAAAATAAAAGTCTGCAGTTGAGATCCTAGACATTATGGACCAAAAACAACCTGTCACTCTGTGCCCTGCTCAAATTCCTAATCTACAGAATAAGTGAACATAATAGATGCTATTTATACCACTAAGTCCTCAAGGACTTCATTATATAGACATACAATCTGGAATTCTGAAAAATGGATAGGGCTAGAATAGAAGGACAGACAGAAACACAACATTTGGCTAGAGAACATTACTGGTGAATAATCAGGATTGAGATTATAAAGATGGACGTCCTACACTGTGACACATCTCTGACATACTTTCCCATTAATCTAAAGATCCGTAATTTATCCTGAAGGCAACACAGAGGCATGGAGAGTCAGTGTCGAACTGGCACAGGACTAAATAAAAGCAGTATTATAGAAGGATGAACCAGATGGAGGTACAAAGGTCAGTCTACAAAGATGGAGATGATTCTCAGATTATCATGAGATTCCAGTTTATGTGAAATTCTATTGTAGAAAATAGCAATGGGAATAGAACTCCCAAAGAAAAATTAATAGGACAGGAGCTAATAGCATGAATGATTACTTGAAAATGCAATCCTCACTAT